TTTGATGTTCTTACTTGGCAAATGTCACATCTGGGAAGCTTGTTTGATAGACATTGAAGGAGAAGCCTTTGGTGCTTGCTTGCAAGTTTGTTTGCAGCATGAACTTCAACATCACATTTGGCACACAAAGCTGCCTCATCTGCGCAACAAATCACTGTTGCCGGAGCCCTCTCACACACATCACACTGAATTTTCATGTCAGTTCTTTTCCCTTGTGCAACAACGAAACCAGTCCTTCTTTATCAGAAAAACAACAAATTCTCACAAAAAGAAATTCTCAGAACCCTTTAGCAGACAGGACTTTGCAAAGCCAAAACAAGGACAATCATGGAGTAGAAAGATTAGGACAAGCTGTAGAGAAGAGAACAAAAAGATAACACGATTAACTATTGAAGTACTGAACAGAACAAGTATTTAATGTGGTTGAGGACAGAAAAAGAAGTGACTGGATGAGATTTGAGAGCATGTGAGGAAGATAAGGAATTGGATGTTGCATTGCATTGCATATCAGTTTCTGCAACAACAATAAAACCAACAGGGATTAGTGGGGTTACTTTGTCAATGGTATGTGTGGCTGTGGATGATGCATCAACAAGTACAAGCCATTTTTGAGTGGACACTATATTTCCTTCATATTCATTCTATCTTCTCTAAAATAACAAGACACTTAAAAACAGCTGCAATCTATCTTTTCAAAATCTCATACAACTACTTCTTTTTGAATAATTGTGTCTCCCAATTTTTCAGAATTTACAGATACTGTACTCTCTCTTGATGTAATATTAAATATCTGTTCTTTAATTTTTTTTGCACCCATTAGAAATAAAATTAATAATAATGAGTGTTATTTATTGAAATAATGTTATTAAAATAATTCTATTATCTTGATAAATACATCTTTTTTGTTTACTATAAATATGAAAATTAATGTAAATAAATTAAAAATTAATATTTTAGTGCAAATTAAGAATAGCAGTCAATTAAAAATAAAAATCAAAACTGAAATTATAAATATTTGAAGACGTGTGATTAAGTAAACGTTCGTGCATTTGATATTTAAGTCAACAAATTGACAAATCCAATTGGATGGAATGAATCGTCAAAATCAGGCCACATATAACATTGTTTGTAGAAAACTTGTTATTTTCAAAAAGTATCTTATAATTAATAATTCGAAATTTTAAGAAGATAATTATTTAATTTATATCTTGAAAATAATCTAAAATATAATGATTGTGGGTAGAAATTACAAGAGGTTGGGTCGTGTATGTTAAGAAAATCAACCAGTTGGACGTGAAAAAATATCAATGGATGTATTTTTTATTCTTTAAAATATACATTTATATGAAAAAATTAATTTTAAAGTATATTATAAATAAAAATTGTATATTAAAATATTAAAGTGAATAAATTTATTTTTTTAAAAATAAATTTGAATGAGTTGCACCTAAATTTAAACTTAATTTTTTAAAAGATAAGATTATCCAAATAAACAAATAGATATATATATAACATTATTTTGATCACTTAATTTTTAAAAATTATTAATATGAAATTTATCAATAATTAAGAGTAAGTAGTAGTCAGCTGATATTTACGAATTGAATATCATAATACTTATATTTATTCATAAAAAACAAATAATTAAATAATCATACTCATTATTTTGTACATATCAATTAAAAATATGTATTAGTGAATGGATAAATTAGTGTACAACAAATTTTGTTGAAATTTATTTCAGTAAATGCAATGTCACAAATCTTGTTGGCAACACTTGAACAACTAGAAACCCATCATCCTAAAACTTGATTACGTCCACATAAAAGGTAAGTGGATATCACATATCACATATATATAATATACAAAAAAATTCTTTGCATTATTTTTTATTTAGAAAATGAAATCCTTATATTAAAAGTGTGAGAAATGATTATTTCACATGAGTTTAAGAAACACTCGTAGTTTTCCTTCAATTTCTTTTCACAATTCCTAATTAAAAAAAATATACTAAGTTTAATTAAAATTTTCCCAATTTCTTTAATTAAAAATTATTAATTTACATATGAGAATCACCTAATTAACATAATAACGAATCATATCATTTAAAAAAATACAATTAGCATAATTTAATTATAGATTCTAATTGTAAATATTTTACGAAAATAAGATGCAACACGAAAAAAAAAGCGAGAGACCTATTTGAAATTTATAGTAAAAAATTAAACCAATCTATTACATTAATTCGATATTATTATTTTTTTTGTTTATTACTTGTTTTTTTAAAAAAATATATAAAATTTTAGTTTTTTATGATATTTTATTTTTATATTATCTCTAAAATAAGTGTAAAAATGTGTGAATCAATTATTGTTCTAAAAGTTTGCATGGAAGGATAATAATACATGTATATTATTGTTGAGATGAAGTATAATTTGTAATTAAACAACATTAGAAACATGATGTTCACATGATGATGTCATTTTTGTTGATCCATGGAATGAAACATCTAACGGTAACAAGAGCCAGCGAGTGTGACATCATTCTGATCCTAAAAACTCTTATTTTAAGTCGTCTCTTAGACAGCACCCTACGATGCATGCTCAAAACAACTCCCATGGCGGCTTCGTTAACCTCCTTCACCGATTTCTTCAACTTTTCCTTGAAGCTTCCATTGTTGTTTCTTTCCAAACTCAAATGGTAACTGTTCAGAAACGCTCTTCTCGCCTCACAAAACTCACGACCACGCCTTGACCACCCTCCATGGGCAAGCTGTGGATAGTGTTGTACATCAGGTGATTCATCAGAAGCTGCATTTGGACGAACCTTGGACTGTCGCATTACAAGAGTACGATGAAACAACGAGAACCACATGTGTGGATATGAAGAAACATTAGTAGAAACAAAAGGGTTTATATAGTTAGTAACATATATTTAAGATAAACATAGTGTAGTGGTTAAACCGTAATGGAAATTAGCGTAACATGGTTGGTAGCTTGGTTACACCCAAGATGAAGATTAAATTTGCAAATCCTGCTTGAAGTTTGATGCGTATAAACTGTTCTTGAAAATGACATGTTATTTATTTTGGAGAATGTAAATTTTCGTTGATAACTTTAACTACCTTTGAAAGGCAATGAGATTCAGGAAGTTTTGCAGTGCGGTTTTCCTTTCTAGAACGGATAACGTAGGTCAAAAGTTAGATGCTATTTTCTTCTGTTTCTGATTTTGTTTTCAAGGTTTGAATTTGATTCAGCATAGCATGTGCATGGAATAAGCAAAAGGAGTCTGCAACTTATCCATTACTACTGTTGCCAAATGGCAATAAAATAGTTGAAATTTGGAAAAGCGTGATTCAAACGCTACCGGTCAGCAATGATGGCAATTAGTTTCTCCAAATTCTGTTCATACCACATATATTATTTATAAATTAATAAAACTATATATATCAAGGGTTAAGGATGAATTTACATGTGGAATTGAAATCCTTTTTTTTCAAAAAAAAAAAATTCATGTAAGTTCATTCTATATTTTAGTAATGTGTGAAATATGGCATTGTCCTTGAACAGCAAATTTTTTCTGAGATCTCTAGATGTTAAGCGAATCAAAAAGTTTATTTACACGTAATGTAATTTGAAAAAAAAAACCCTTTTTTTTGTTCTTTTATCTTTTACATTTTTTTCTTCATCTTTTCAATAAATTTCCATATATTAATAATAAATTTTAAGTCTAATTTAATTTTATAAAATCAATTTTTTAAGATAAAATTTATATATATATATATATTATCGATTTCTAACAAATTAATGACTAATTTTAGAATTATAAATTTTACTATTAAGATTAAAATTTTATAATTATTATTATTCTTATTCTTATTATTACTATAATTATAATAATAATTATTATTATTATTGTTATTATTATTATTATTATTATTATTATTATTATAACATATAACATTGGCACATTTCAATAGGATTGGGATCATCCTTCTCCTGTATGTAAAGAAACAATCAGCTAGTGAATGGAATGTGAATATAATCTAATTAAGTTACGTGGTCCATAGAGTCAAATGAGGACACGCTATCAATAGAATGACCAAGCACGCCGCTAATCAGTAATAATCTAGAATTTTTATACTTAGTTGGCATATGCTTAGTTTGAATGACCAAGCAGCATGTTTTTTGAATACCAAACTTTGACTGCAACACAAAATATTTTCATTAAAATTATATATATATATATATCATTCACACAGTGCTTATTTTATATTTTTGACCCTGTTGGAATTTGGAGTTGGTCTTTTAAGCTTCACATAAATTTATCCTTCGGAGCTTATTAAGATCAACCAAAACCATCGTCTGGTAAGTCATAAGGTATTTTCATAAACTCTTCCAAACACTCACAACATAAGTCCAACTAGGTTGTTGATAATCTCTTCCAAACTGATACATGATAAATAAAACATCATGAAACTAAGTGATTCATGAAATACATAAATATACTGAACTATAAAGATTAGTTTCAATCACATGATTTCTCAGAACTGTTTTAAAATAAATCAATAAATTTAAAGAGGGAAAGTGATAAAATTACGAAGATACATCACATTGATATGTGTTGAGATCCAAAACTAAAACATGACTTAAATTTGAAATTAAAAAAAAAAAGTAGCTACATGTTATGAAGTGGGATCAATAAGAGGGGTACTAACAGATATTTAAGGTTGAATAATAATAACGTTCATGGGGCTTTAGCAGAATTAAAACTGCTAATCGAAAAATATCCTTTTAAAATTGGCCCTTTTTTAATTTCTGAACTGTTGTTATAAATTATTTACTTTTTGGCCGGCAATGTGATTTGATAAGATGCCGAAGCATCTTTTACAAGATTCATATTTTGTTTTAATGTCCATTTTAACTTGAAAATGCGAAAATCCCTATAAAAACAAATATAATAACACGAAACTCATGAATGGACATCAAAGCCAATAATACGAAAACGATGTAAAACAATCTAACCTTTTTACTTTCAGCATAAAAATAACAATCTGGCTTGTGTACAGTAACACCACACCTCCAAGCCAAGGATATAACATAAAGATTCTGCTTTGATGATTGAGAACCTCAATCCTACGCAATGCTACAACAGGGATTGGTTACCGAAAATTTTCAACCTCAAAAGCACAAGCTGTTCCATCAAGCGAGGCCGAAACAAGGTAATCCCGATTAGCAGACACAGAAAGAGACTGAATGGCATCAGAGTGTCCCTTTAATGTTTTTACACATTCCCCAGACCGGCTATCCCACAATCTCACCTTACCATCCACACAACCAGTAGCTACATATGATGCGCCGAGCCATGTCAAACATGTCACTCCATCCTGTCCACAAGGCAAAATTCCTTTAAAGCACAAGATATAAGCCAGTGTATGGTGAAAACAGACCAATCTAGTCTCTGAATGCACAAACAAAGCAAGATTACAACAAACCTCGTGATCACAGGTGGCTCGGGGTATTAAATGCTCTATATCCCAGATGATCAATTTTTTATCCATGCTTCCAACTGCGGCCCACGAATCACTATCATACAATTTCAAGGAACAAAATTATTGATTACTTAAAGCAAATTTAAGAGAACAAACTATTCAAAATTCCACATGTATAAACTATTCATATTTGAGAAAGGTTTGGATCATTTTGCTCTCTCTTATTCCTCAGAAATAAGTAAAATTCTTTCTTGAATTGGTGTTTGTACTGTAACCAAGTAACTTCTGGTTCAGCTATGGTAAGTCTAATAAATTCATGAGGCCAAGGCACTCGATTTTCACTCATCTTAATAAACAAACCCTATTATATTATGCGTGTCATCCTGTTATCCACAAGGGCACGTTTGTTTCACAGATCATTGTTTTCCCAATAATCATATTCCTTGGAATATTATACCCAGGAATGATATTCCTATAATCATGTCTGGTTGTTATTTAATAATTTTAAAAACAAGTAAAATTCAATTAAAGCATATAAACATAAAAATAAGATATGAAAGAGAGAACGATGTAGTGAAAATAGGTAGTTATTGTGGCGATAACTTCCATCCCAAGGCATACCCACTCCCTTCCCACGGGAACACGCAGTCTAAAATGTGAAGGGGTCATTTTTTTGGATGTAATGTTATCAGCTATATTTTCTTAATCATCTAACAAAAGCAGGAATATTTATTCTTATCATCATTATTGTCTTCATCCCTTTCAGAAAACCTCTCCGTCCATTAAAATTTCTATTGTACACATGCGAGATTGCACATGTAGATAAAATATGAGAAGTCTCTTAATCGTAATACATACCTTGGTGAAAACCCAACACACTCGATGGAATCTGAATGAGGAGCGAGGGCATTATTATCAACAACCTGTCAAACAAGAACATGATTCTTAGAGACAAAATGGGAAGCTAATAAAATCTATAGAATGCAGATACAAACAGACAATTAGCACGGCATGAAGTGGTGAAAGTGTAAGAATTTGCTGTCATAAAACAGGACAAGATAGGCTACAGTATTAAGGACAAAATTCTTAGAAAACTTTGGTTCCTCCATAAAACACAAAAATAGTAAAATTGAAGACCTCCTTAAGAGTCTAGCTAGGTTACAGACTGTCTAGCTGAATTAACTAATTACGCAATTTCCAAACACAAGTCCACCAAGTAACTATTATCCGTGTACATTTGAGCGTGACAAAGATATACCAATATTGACCAATGTATATTGGAGAAAGGATGGCAGCTGGTTTGAAGTTAAAGTCCAATTAAGCATCAGACTATTCTTGCCAATGTGAACTTTAAATTAAAACATAGGTACAATACATTCCGAAAGTAGTCTTGCTAATCGCTCTATGATCTGATTCCCATACATGTTCACATGCTTGTTCCCTTTAGCCCTTGACATGAAAGAGGAAATTACAAGACAACAGTAGTCCAACAAAAATTGTTCTTCAGTCAAATATTTATAACTGACATTGGAGGCTATTATTCTTTGAATAAATACCAAGATATTTAGCATCAATCAGTTGATTAGATATTTTACCTCGAATTTCTTTTAAGTAACTATTGTCTCAGATATTTTCAGTAAGATATATAACTTGAAGTCATAAGACACAAATTTTAGAAACATTATCAATAGTCAAGACAAGGCTTCTTAGAATAATGAAACATACCCAAAGGCAAAGACACGAGACAAGACAAATAGGCTAAAGAAAACAGTGCAGTGAATATCAAATGCAACGAAAAGACATACTCTTCCTGTGGTAATATTCACAATATGAACAGATCCATCCTTAGAACCAGAAAGTGCGAGAGTTGAAGTTGAATTTATTGTCAAGCATGTTAACCCCTCGGTATGGTATGGATGGCCTAGAAAGCAAACTCTAAAAGGTTATCAAAAGAAAATAGAAAAGAAAATAAAGGAAAAAAGAAAGTTTGCAGATGAAAGGAAAATTATTAGATTTTTGTGAAACTATCATGACATGATGTACATCAAGTTTTATCTCATGAATGGTGTCCCTACTTCATACGAGAAAAATAGATATAATATGCAGGTGAAGTTGCTTTTAATTGATTTAAAAAATTGCTCAAACTACATCCTATCCTTTTTTCTAGTGGAAAATTCAACAATATGTTTTCAAAATAACATAACTACAGAGTTGCAATACCACAAACTATTTAGACTGGAGGCATGAATAATCGGCAATATGTATTATCGGGGAATAGAAAGCTAACACAAATAAAGATCAATTTACATACCCCGCACAACATGAGTGCTTTCTGCACTTTTTGGATTCCATATTCTCAAGGTTGCATCGTTAGATCCAGTACATATTATTTTCCCTAAGGTATCAAGTAAGAATAAACAGAAGCGTGTAAAATTATATGGCACAAAAAACAACAATTAACAAAAAATGCACTAAGATGAAGAGAAATACTACCATCAGGAGTAAAATCACCACAGCTTACACTATCACCATGACCAATAAATGTATTAAGTAAGGCAGCATTATCAGTATTCCACATCCAAATGGTAAAATCCTCAGAACCAGCTAAGAGTATATGTCCTCTTGGATGCCAACTAAGCCACTGAAAAGTTTCATGACATCTAACTTAGCAACTATTTACAACAGGGAAAAACAAGAAAAATACGGATGGTTTTTTCTCTACATTTCCAGTTGATATTTTCTTTTACTACGAACTACAAAATAACACCTTGTTTTGACAAACAATCTCACCTCAATGCCCCCTCCAGGACCTTCAAGTTTTTTACCTTCCAAATTTCCTGATACATCCCAGACTTTAATAATTCCATCTAAGCTTCCTGATGCCAAACGCTATCCATCATAGCTAAAAGCTAAACTAGATACAGATTCTTCATGACCTGCACAAATTTAATAATAACAAAAATCATTTGGATATTCAATAAACTGCAAGTAACATATCTTGACTTTACCAATTATTGTGCAACAGCACTAGTCCTAATTGGAAAGATATCAATCCATGAGAAAACCTGGAGTCATCCAAATACCTGGAAGCTCAAAAGCCCAATCTCCTTGGCCAATCTTCCAGAGAAATCCTCTGTCATCACCACCACCAGTAGCCACTAGGGCTGCATCAGTTGGGCTGGAGGCAACTGAGTACAACTCCCCTATATAAGAATTCAAGAAAACAAAGAAAATACCATAAATTCCTTGGTAAAACATTGCATACATATAATAGACGATTTCAAAATTTGAAAAAAAAGAAAATAGTTAGAATAATAATGATAATATATTGCCAATAAAACCATTGAGGAACGTCTACTTAGATCCAGAATTTGACCTCAATCTAATTAAGTCTCAGCAGAATCAGGATAGCTATGCATAAACACAAACAAAAAAGTACAAAACTTACCAGTATGAGCCGTGAACTTGTGCAGAAAATCACCATCCTCGTCCTCTGAAATGGTTCAAAAGAATATCATTATGAAATATATCATCACATAGAAAAACAATACATCTAAATTCTGACACAATGAAGGTATAACAAAGAAATAACAGTCGAAAATTTTCACATAATCGACAAATAATACACAAGACATGCCACATAGAACCCTACTAATATTGAAATTAAGGATCAGAAGGTTTTACCGCAATTCCCTACCAAGTTCATAATCATCATCAGCGTCAGGAAGATCTTCATTATCCATTTCAACTTCATGGATAATGTCAGCCTCGTCAATGAAAGATGGTTCGTTATCATCTTCATCATCAAGAGGAGGTGGAGAACTCATTGTGTTTTCTCAATTGTCAATGAAATATTTTCAATACTCAACCTGAGAAAAATCAATCATTATCATATAGCTTCTTTCTTTATCCAACCAAAATTAAATGCATCATGAATTTCTTTCACGTAAAAACTCGCAATTTAAACATCTAAGAGGGTAGACAGAATTAAATTTACTCAAGCAGTAACTAGATTATCCAGAGAAACTGGACCACTTACTGCATTGAACAGCACCGCTTTCAAAGTAATGACAAAGTTTATTATTGTTTTATACCAACCCAATTCCTTACTTATGCTCGTTCTGTTTTTTAATTCCGTTGCACTTCAAGAAAACCAACCCAATACATCCTGTATCATCCCGGTTGCTCAGGTCCGACCGGAAGGTTGAACCCGAATCTGAAAAAAGAAAGATAACACGTCCGAAGACCGACCCTATACTGAAGTTTGTTTCAGAAATAAATAAAGCGGCCATGGACCGACCCAAACACGTGTGGTACCTTGAAGATACAACAAAGTTATTGGGTTCAAGACTCTTAAGAAGTTTTGTAGAACAGATTACCATAATTTAGAAAATATTATAGTAAAAGATACCATTCCCTTTATCTTCTAGTTATTTTAATATCCTTCTGGGGTTAGAAATATATGATTTAAAGTGGTTACAAATAATAGGTACTTGGATTTTCATACTTAAAATACTGTTAACTTTTTAATCAAACAAACAGAATTATACTGTCCGTAACAATAGCTCCATAATTTACGAGCTGTTTTAAGAGGATCCAAGCATGCCTAGAAATAAATAGCAAGCAGAGAGGTATTGGAAAAGGCAAGGAAGGAATTGAAAACGAAGTAACGCACCTGCGAGAGGTTGATCAGAACCAAACTGACGGATTCCGGCAGAGGTTGAAAAGAAGAGTTAAAGAGGGAAGTTTGTGTCGATTAGGGATTGATTACGGCGATTGAGGGCTGCTTCGGTGGGAAAAAGATAAATTATAATTATATTATAGTATTTTTTTTCTTTATTATATCATAACTAGTTTATTGAACCTAGAAAAATCCTCACATCCTTGACGAGTTAGCACATGAAATTTATTGTTCAAACTCTCAACTTTTTTTCGTTACTTTTTAAAAAATATGACAAAATTGATGTTTAATCCTATTTTTCTTTGGAATAAACTACACACTTTTTCTTAGTACAAACAATAAAGATCTCAATGTGATGAAGGTAATAAATTTTTGTGGTCACTTAATTATAAATAAATTCATTAGGCTAACTGCACATCTAAATCACATTATTAATCACCTGTTTAACTGGACATTCTCATTTAACAATTAAATAATCGTGTTATCATTTTTATAAATGAAAACTAAACATATAACTTAGCGCAAAGATAATACTCAACCTAAAAAAGTTGAGAATCATTTTTAAACATTTCATCGTGTATTTCTAATTTTCAAAAATAATCTTAGAAATTATGTTTATTTTAAATAAAGGTTTAATGTCTCGGTAGGTCCCTATTTTCGGCGTGAATTTCAAATAGGTCCCTTTTCTTTTCAACGTCTCAATTAGGTTCTTTTTTGTGTAAAATTGGAGCAATTAGGGGTCTGCCGTCAAATTACACAAACGGCCGTTTAAGTTTGCCTACGTGTTATTAAAAATGATTTTGAATTAATTTTTGTATTAAAAAATGGATTTGTTCTTCAAGGGCAAAAAAGGCAAACTGGGGCAAACCCTTTTCTTCTTTTCTTCTTCGATTGGAAGGCGGTTCTTCTTTTCTTCTTCGATTGGAAGCGGAGGGGAAATCCCTTCCGAATGAAGAACTTACAAGAGGTCACGATGCTATTCGCTATCAGGACCGCCGGCGACGACGCCGGTCACCACCAGGGCTTCTCCCAGCGCCCCGCTTCACTTCGGGCAAAGCACTCCTGCACCAGCGTCCACAACCGTCGCGACCCCTCGAGATCTCCAGTCAGGCGACCGTTGCGCGACCACGCTCCGTCAAGATAGGACAGCCACCGGCGATGACGGTCACCATAGGAGGAAGATTTACCAGCGTCAACGCGACCTTCTCCTTCTTCGCTCTTCTCCGACAAGAATATTAAAAACAAAAGTAGAGACAGCTAGCAGAAACAAAATGCTCAAGTCAAACAAACTCTTCGTATCCATGTACAAACTTAGCACACAGATTCACCTACTGTCACACAGCAGTAGAACACAGTCATGAAAGAAGAAACCGAATTGATAATTTGATTATCTGAATATCAAAGACAGATTCTTTCTTCTTGTTTTTAAGATATCATGGAATCAATCCTGAACAGCTGAAACCAACAAAAAAAATCGTCCACCTCTTTTTTCTTTTCCCGCTTGCTCTTCACCTCATGAAAAGGATCTACACAATTAACAAACCTAAGATTAGAAAAATCGCACCCATATCTGATAGCATCTCTAACACGTGGATTAATTCGTTCTGTTGTTTCTCATTTTCCAGCAATGCGCGAGCGAGCAAAGCAATAATCTCGAAACCTTGAACGAAGGTGTTCGCACGTTTCGCTCCAAGTGAAAGAAATATCAAGAACCTCGAAACGAAAAACACAGAGAGATAGAAAGAGAGAGAAAGGAACCTTGTGAAAGGACTGTTGCCTTTTTTGCCCTTGAAGAACAAATCCATTTTTTAATACAAAAATTAATTCAAAATCATTTTTAATAACACGTAGGCAAACTTAAACGGCCGTTTGTGTAATTTGACGGCAGACCCCTAATTGCTCCAATTTTACACAAAAAAGAACCCAATTGAGACGCCGAAAAGAAAAGGGACCTATTTGAAATTCACGCCGAAAATAGGGACCTACCGAGACATTAAACCTT